GTTCAAGAAAATTATTTGCAGATGAATAACTGCAGAAATAAAGAATAACCTCAGTTGTAAGTAGAAGTTTGACAAGTATATGAGAACCGATGAAGCCAGTAACGCCAGTTAGTAATACCATATCACGTGAGAAGCTATAATCTAAGTCGGTGGAACGCCAAAAAGCGCGTAAATGTAAATCCATCCTACAACAAACTTCAAATTCAAACATGTAAGCTTTAAATTTATATCGATAGCGAAAGAATGCAAATCATTTTCTTTAATTTGAATAATTTCAAAAACATATCACGCTTGATAAATAATTTTGTGCAGGATTATTTCAACGTTCGTTTGTTTTTTCAACTTTATCAAATGAAATGATCAGTGATTCTCTTGTCTATACTCAGTTTTCTCTTCATTTTATCATCCTTTCTTTGTATTCCTCAATGCCTAACAAATGCTAAGTATATTTAACGCTTAGTATATTTAGCTTTCCGCTTTTTCTTTTCTTCGTTAATTTAAATTGAAGAGATTTGAAACATACACATTGTCTTTGAAGTCATGAATATTAACTTGATGTGCCAAATCAACTTGCTCCAAATTATCACTATCATCCTTCTGATCGATACGTCGAGCTAATGATGATACGGTTGGTGTAGCAAATAATTCACGCATATTTAGTTGTACCCCAAATTCTTCCTCAATTTTATGCAACAAACGAGCTGCCATTAATGAATGTCTAAAAGATATAATTTAATCCTATCAATTTTTCTTTGAAGATTCTTAGTACAAACAATATACAAACAATGATGGACATTGATTGATACAGGGCAGAGAACAAGACAGGAAATAACTGACATTTTCTGTGAGTATGCATACGGTACCCACGTATATACAGTATCATTTTGTCAATGTTCAAGGAAAGCTATCAAGTAACAAAATGATTCCTGGATATTTTGAAATTATAAATAGTAAGAAATGCAAAATATGTGAATATTTTTTTATGTATGGAAGTTTTTTTTCAAAGATATTCAAATTTGATAATTCTTATATTTCGGCCATTAAAAAAAAGAATAGTTAGATTAATCTGACACAATTTTGATTGCATATATAATATCGAACTTACCCTCCGAGGTCAAAAAAGCTTTCTTGAATGTCGATAGCAGTTCGTGATAGTACTTCAGCCCATACTTTAGCTAATCGTTCTTCCGTTGGAGTTTTTGGAAGCGCACTTGCTTCCACGACATCTTTTTGTGGATCCACAGGTGGTAATGCTTTCTTATCAACTTTTGATGATGCTGGTACTACTGGTATACTATAAATAGAATTCCATTTTGTATATTTTGAAATACGCTATAAATTAGTGCAATAATATAAATATGTATCTCATCTCTTACTTTCTATCATTGATGTATTATAATGATATACCAATTTCTATTTATTTTTTGCTTTTTTTTCATTTTCCTGTGCGTGCATAATTTGCTAATAATCCATTCAGGCCTGTAATATCATTAGGCTATATTATTTCAATAAATTAATTTATACCTGGGTAAGTAAACGAAATAGCTTGGTACCATATAAAAAGGTAATTGCTTTTTTAAATCAGCTCTCATTTGTTTTCTTGTGACATTCTCTTTCAATACAACATATGCAGCAAGTTGTTTATCTTCGCCTTCTGAACCAACACTTATCACCACACATGTTTTAACGTATGGTAATTCTAAAATTACTGCTTCCACAGCCTACAAATTTCATGCATATCTTTTTTTTATGTAAAATGAAATTAAATAAAATTATCTGAATTTGAAATAATTAAAACTAAAAGGAGAAATTTGAGGAATTTGTTTTGAACTAATAATGAAGAAAAGATTAGAAGTGAATAAAACGAACGAGAATTTCAATGCTGTAACCACGAATTTTCACCATCGTATCACAACGTCCACAAATTTCCAAAACTGAATTAGGCAATAAATATCCCCAATCACCTGTCCTGTATAAACGTTCACCTAATTGATCCTTCAACTCATCCGGTACAGTTATAAACCGCTGTTGATTTAATTCTGGTCGATTAACATATCCAGTTGCCAGTGTTGGTCCCCCCACAAAAATCTGAAACATATAGATTGACGTGTCAAAAATTTTTAAAATAATCTCAATTCAATAATTTTAATGATATCATTTGTCGAGAAAACCGAAATTTTGTGATGTAATAATTATTCACACGAACAGAGATTTTGTATTACTGACAGTTAGGCTAAAGGATTTTCTTGGTAGCTAAAATCTCTACAATCTTTCGTCAATGTTAAATTTTAATTTCTTGTCACACGATATTCTTTCTTTATTTTGTGTTGCTCGAATGTCGTTCAAACTTATTGCCCACCAACATTTCCCGCCATCACATGTTCTCTGTCTTTCTTTTTATCTATAACAACAAATGCAGCTAACGAGTAATCAAACAATCTCTTTTCCCATCGCTTCTTTCTTTCTCTTCATCACATCGCATTGCCTGCTGCTAATTTATCGCTTCATGATCCGTGTGACTGTCCCATCCTGGTACCATCCAACGTTAAGCATATATAGGTACGCTGGATACTAATGCTGGACACGCTAACGCTGGATAAGTTAACGCTGAATACGCTAACGCTGGACACTAATGCTGGATACTACATATACTCACAGATCAACTGGTACTCTTCCCAAAACAAGACATGTGTATATGTCTTTCTCGGAAAAAGCCAATCGACCAAGTTTCTCACAGATTAGTTTAGTGATCAGAAATCGGAACATTCATCACCATTCATTCTCATTATTTCCAATCTACTTTCAAACTTTCGAATAAGCCTATTCAATTATCATTGTTGTGGAATATCAATCTGCTTGCCCGAATCAAGAAAAAAATAATTTTCACGACATAATTTGAATTTTTTTTGTAAAGGAGTTCTAAAAAAAGTGATATTTACCTCTCCGGGAACTCCCATTGGAACTTCTTTCAATCCCTCGGAAGCATCCATGACAACAACTTTAACTCCAGGGATTACTTTACCAACAGGAGCATACTTTCTTGATGGTTGCGTGTAGAAGACTTCCGTAAGATTCGAGTAAGACACGTCATGACATTCGGAAACACTGTATAAATTTAGGACCTGAATATTAGTTTATATATTAATAAAATTATTTCAATTACTGATAGATCAAAATGACGTATTGTGAAAATGTTTGTGAATGAAGAAAATTTATACAAGTTTATGTTTGCAAATAAGTAAGCCTTTCATTCGATTTTCTGTCCAACGAAAAATGAATTTAAAGAGACCTGAAAGAAAAACTTACTTCCACTTTGGGTAAGACTTCGAGGATTCGTTTCAGTAATGTGTATGTTACTACTTCACCACATAACAGTATTGTTCTGAAAGATAGAAATATTCAGCTTGCCAATTATGCGGAAGATCTAACTGCATCTATGCAATGATAATTTTACAGATAATTAAAATAGCTGATGAGAAATATTATATTAGATATATTCATAAGGAAATTATAGTTTTTAGAAATCTCAGAATTATTATTTGGCAAAAATGATGGATGAAAAAAATGAAATTTAAATTGTGCAATGATTTATTAATATCATAAGTGATGAATTGAAATGATACCGGAAAGTAAGAAATGTTGATCGGATTGTTTCATCAGAATGAGTATCGAAGATAGCTTCAAGCAATGATGGAGTAAACATCATTCTTGTGATTTTATTGGTACTCAGGAAACGACATAATTGAGGTAAGTCATAAATAACATTATCCGGTATCACATACATTTCAACGCCTGAATTTTATGTAATACTCTTTTTTTTGATCATATGATAATTTTTTCAGCGACCTTTTATCATATCCATTCATTTTCACATCTTTCGATTAAGAATGCAATCTTTTTAGTGATCTTTGTTCAGTATAGTTCAATATATGCAGAGAAGTATACCAATTTGAACCAAATATTAAAAACTCTTTAATTAATGAATTGATTTCAAAATTTTATGTATTGTAATTTGATGGGTGTTTTGTGCGTGTTAACATGAAATGAAAAAATTTAGTTAGTGTTAGATAAAATTTAAATGAGATAAACCTTGAAGAATCGGTCTGAATAATTCCCAAACAAAAAATACATTGCAAGCTTCTCGTTCATTTTCCACATACGGATATTTAATAAATCGATAATCATATGAGAAAGCAGCACCACGATGTGGGCATTCAATACCTGAGAAGATCCGAAAGTTTTATTTCTCTTTGTTTTTCTTTCTTTATTTTTTAAAATGTTAAAAAATTTCGAAATAAATGTGCCTTGAAACATCATAAATTGTAAATTTATAATTCCAATAGTTATTTCAACCAACAATTTCATTTGATTAGGAAATTTAATTTTTATTCACTTACTAAATGAATTTAGCCAACGAGAATTCATTAAATGATTATTATGGTTATTATATTATTAGTATGATAACGAGAAAAAAAACACCTTTTGGTTTGCCAGTTGTGCCAGAACTATAAACAATATAAGCACGGTCGTCAGGACCAACTTCAGGCAATTTAATGGACTGCGGCGGAGTGGGCGGAGTGGGAAACGAAGAGTCAAATACATACATCGGTGCCAAATCTGAAATTGAAATTTCAAAAGATTAAAAAAAAAACATCAATACCGAAAAAACATGAACAAAAAATTAAAAAAAAATCGCCTTACCTGAAAGGTTATCAGCAATATCTGCTGTTGCACAAATGACTGCTGGTTTGATTTCAGTGATAATATCAATTAGTAAAGGTTGCGGATAGAAGGTATCTAAGGGAAGATAAGCACAACCTGTAAATATTATAAACATTTTAAAATTTTCTCTTTGATTGAATGATTTTAACAAGGATAATTGAAGTGCAGACTTTTCCATACTTCAACATTTCCTTTCTAATTTTAATTTTAATTTCTTCTTTTCTACTTATTGGTAACATCAATAATCAGCCGTACTATAAGTAGAATTAGAATAAGAAAAAGACATTCAAAAAATATCAGGTATTTGCTAGCAATAGCATTTGTTTTTTAATAGATTTCTTATTTCTCGAAAATTTAATCTTAATTTCATTTCTTCAATTTTTATATTAAATATATCACCTCAGTTACTATGATTTATCATTTCATAACCAATGCTATATTGAAGTTATAGTGATAAAAAAATCGTTATATTCCAAGTTTGCCATTCAAATTTCTGTTAAGCATCGTAACTGACCAGCTTTTAGGATAGCCGTGTAAGCTAATGCATAAAATGCACACTTGTTCATATAAATGCCAATACAGTCTCCTCTCTTAGCACCATATTTTTCCACGAAATGTTTTGCTAAATTTTCCGACATCATATCCAATTGAGCCAATGTCCACTTCGTGTCTCCATCATGGACGACAATTTTTGATTTCAGCTCCGATTGATTTGCTGCTTTGCGAAACAATTCGACCAACGTTGACATTTCACTTTGTTGCACAATTTGGAAGAACTAATCAACAATTAATATTTTTTTTTAGAAATGCGCAAAAAAAAAATTTTTGACGTTTAATTTCGCCGTATATTTTTAGACAGACTAAATGATATGAATGCATTAATTATTTCAATTAATTTTGTGTTTAACATTTGTAGTCGTTTCAAAAAAAGAAAAAAACTTAGATTAAAACCTGAAATTAATCCAATCAAATTTTGTAAAAGTAAATTTAAAGAAAAATACTTCTGCTGAAAATATGATAGTTGTCACTGACATTAATTTCGACATAAACATAAATTACTTCATGATGATGCATTTCAATACTGTCGTTAAAATTTCAGTAGAGAAACTGGAAATACACATGTGAGATAATAATGTTGTACATGCTATGGCAAGAATTAAAATGATTTTAGAAATCTAAAGTGACAATGCGAAGAGGAAAAAATTTTCCTTGTGAGAAAAATAAAGACAGAAAAAACTCATTTTTAATTTTAAGTTTGCACTTTTTTTAACTTCTGCATTTCTTTTTACATTTTGTATTATCTTTTGAATTTAAAAATAGAACATAAATATGCTAAATAATTATAAGCCACAAATTAGCTTATAATAAGTTTGCATAATAAAATAGCTTTAAATCAAAAACAACTATACAAAATTATACATTAATTAATAGAATTATATGAAGGGAAGACAGAAGTAAAGGATGGATGGATGGAAGAAAGGAAGAGTGGTGAAAATAAAAGAAAGTAAATAAACAGTTTCATCACAGAACTGTTAGCATACAGGAAAAATATGAAAAGACTTTTCTCTCTTTTGCAAAAGAGAAGCTATGCCTCGTCCCCTTCACTATTAATCGTTAACAAATTACTGAGAAATGGGTGTTACTTTATTGATAAAGTTATTTTCTTCTTTCTTTGATAAGATTCTATTCCTGCAAACATTCATTATGATAATTGACAACTTTCTATAAGATGATCTTCGTACTTAACAATGCAAACAAAAAATATAAAAACTGTTGCACGTAATGATATAATTACTTTGTTAAATTCTTCTATCTTCATACCAACCAATTTCTTTTAAAAAAAAGTCAGTAAATATTGAAACTTTTTAAAGTAAATTAAAAAAGCAAAGTCTTCAAAATCTTGCTAATGTACCCCCTCAAAAACATTCTCATACCTATCTATGATCACTTATAAGTAAATATTGAATTTTTGCTAATTCATAATTGAAAAAGTCTTCAGAATTCTGCTAGCATAGCTCCTTAGCTCTTTTTTAAGTCCTTTATGATGTTAGCTGCTCTAAGCATTGTAAATCTTCAGAATCTTGGCAATATTGTTCCTAGCTTTTTTGGTAATTCACAGTTCTTTCCTTTTTTTAATAGTTGTAGAATGGGAATCATCAGAATTGTGATAATATAATGTCTTATCCTTTTTTAATCTTTCATAACATTGCTTCCTTTCTGATAACATATTACGAAATGAACACATGCACTATTTAATGATCATATGGAAAAGAGAAGGGAAGAAAGAATAAACCATAATTTATCGATAAATTAATCAATGAACCTCAGAAAATTTTGAAAACTGAAATTAGCAACGATATAAGGAAAGGGTGGAGCTTATTGATAAAGTTTTTTTTTTCTTTTTTGATAAGATTTATTTTTTTACGATCCATAAATGAGATGACCTTTCCTATGGTTTTTGCATTTACGCAAATAAACCATCATAAAACAGAAGTATAGAAGTGCATAGTTTACTAATAAGTACTTCTTTATTCTTTATACTTTCTTTAATTACTCTCAGGAAAGGAGGAAATTTTCAGAGTCCACGTAAGAGGTTAGTAACAGATTACACAGTAATGTTTAACGATTATATGATTTTATGTAACGAAAAAAAATAAAAAGTAATCATTGAATTAGTAAGTTATGAAGAACTTTGAAGGTAATGATCAGTAATGATATAAATGAATTGTAAGAAAACAATGGGAATTTTTTAATAAAAGTTATTTTAATCCTTTTTGATAAAATTCATTTTCGTTTTTTTAAATAATCACATCATTTAAAGTGACGTTCTTCCACACTGCTATTACACTTCTTATTGCAAAACTGAAATACGAAAACGCATATGATGATTTCTAAAGTTCCATAGTAGATATTAAAACTTTATAGTATTTATTTTTTTTATAGTAAAGGGGAAGTTTTCGAAATTATACAATGATTTAGTGAAATGTAAAGTATAGCCGGACCTTATATCTTTTTTTTTGTCAAGCTGACAACATTAGGGAATTACAGCAATTATTGCGCAGCAAAAAAAATTTTTGCGCATTGCAACAGTTGAAAGGACAAATTCATTGAAAATGATTAATAGTAGTAAAATTGAATTACCACAAGACTTCGCTATTTCATCAGTAACAAAAATATCACCGCATGCACAAAGAGGCACATTTGTAAAAATTACATCTAATCTTCAACCTTTTCATTTTCAATTTCCCGCTTTTTATCATTCCAAAATAATTAATTTGTTTCTAACTTTCACCCCTTCCAACTCCATTTATCAACTTAATCATCAGCATTTCAGTTTATTAACGATAATTGAGTTACCAGTCTTATTATGTTTTTCAATAGTTATATTTTTGAATTATCAAATTAGTGCAACAAATTGCAAATTTAAATTTGTCAACTGCCAAAAATTAAATTAAAAGTAAATAATGCAAGCTAGAATTCAAATTTTGTTGAATTAAATTAAAAAATGGGTAATTGTAATGATTTTGCAGTATAGATTTTCAATAGCATTTTCATATTAAAAAAAAAAAACTTATTCAATCAGTTAATTTAAATTCTTTCCTCAAAGTTAATATAGTTATGCCTGTTAACTGTACATTCATTGAATTGAGCAACATTACAATAGTAATTGAATGTAATCAATATTGAGATTTACTCACAATGAAACAAACATAACTATATTAACTTTGAGGAAAGAATTTAAGTTAACTGATTGAATAAGTTTTTTTACAGTATTGTCAATGTTCGTCGCATGAATCTATTTAAAAAAATAATATTGTATTGTGGTGGTAATAAGAAAAATCATGAGTTAAGCATAAATTCTTCTAAAAATTCTCTTATAAATAAGATATTCCAGAAGTAATAGAGAAAAGAAATGATCTATGAATTGACATTCTGTAATATTAATTCTTCTTTGTCTTTTCATCACTTCTAAAAATCATTCATTCAATTTTTTTTGCCATAATTGATCATACACGAATTTCCTTCCGTTTAGCATTAATTTTAATTTTTTAATTAATCACAGTTTTTTTTTTTCATTTTTTTCGTCACTCTTAAAAATTATCCATCCATTTTTTTTCGTAATTCATCTTATAACTGTTATTTTAATCATGACAGTATAGATTTCAAATAAACAATTTTTAAATTCTTAAAAGGGAATTTGAATAGCATGGTGTTAAGTATGAGGAAATATAAAGGATGTGATAATTGCAAGTTCTGAGAAATTTTTTTATACAATTGATTTATTCTCAATATGTTGCTTGAAATATCATCAATTTCCGGAAACTTTCAGGTATGGTACGATTACTTCAAATTTTTAATTCATGAAAAGTAATGAGAAAAATATGCATTTACGATTACAAATTATTAGAATGTTAATAAAGCAAAAAATTATTTCTTCGAGTTTTTAATTGCAACTGTTGAATGAATATGCTATAATTGATATTAATTACTAGTTTTCAAGCTTTGTTGAAAGGACAAATTCATTGAAAATGATTTAATTTAGGAATATTTTATAATCACATTAAGTCGTTTATGTCTAATTCTGCTGCATCTATCGAAGTAATTAGTGTAGAAGTAATTAGTGATCCTTCGCATTAATGCAAAGTTATTAATTAATATTAATTCAGTACTATGAACTAAGTTAGTACCAATCGAATTGTTAATTGGCCCATTATAACTCTCGCTCTATCACGAAAATCATTTAAGATTGTATCTGTCTCAAAAGTCGCAAAATTTCAAGAATATTATAAATGGCCAAGTGTTTAGATATATTTATACATACACATATATTCATAGATGTAATATTACTGTCTTAATACATGTTCATACGTGTCAATTATAATGTTCCTGTCTAAACCAATAGCTTCCCGCGTTATGATATGCACGTATACTTTGCCTATATAAGACATCAAATATTCATTCATTCATTCATTCGTTCTTCTTCCCTTGGGTTGTGCGTTTGGTTTATTATTTCATGTATTAATATTGCATTTTTATTATTGCTATGGTTTAATTACCCAAGGTTGAGTGGGTTTCACTCGCAATGAAGTACAATTCAACGCGTGTCTTCACATCGTTCTTCTGCTACAACCAACCACATTGGAGTAGGACTCAACTCTTATTTCATAATTAAAGGACCAACATTTCAACAAAGGCAGAGTTGTAATCCATCTACTGAATACCTCATAAGAATCTATTAGAATAAAGCTAACAAAAAGGAACTTTCACGATAGTATTATAAAAATATTTATTGCCTAGCATAACTTCAATTTTTTACTCCTATCATATCTCAGAAGATGCTAATTCTTGTTTAATCTTATTAAGGTATTCAACTTCTATAGGTATTTTTTTAATATTCTAAATAATAACACCTGCTTCTTATTAAAAAAAGGCCAATCCAATAGTGATTCTGTATGAAGCATTTCATACAGATTAGCTTAAAAGTAATTTCTTTGTCGGTTTTAATATGGTTTATAGATAGCACTATGACATTATCGGTTTTTTGACTTTTTTTTCTATTTAATTAAGGAAAAACATGTTTGCATTTAGTTCAGGTAGTACAAGCATTGGTTATTATTTCGGCTTGCTAATTGTTATGACTTTATTTGGTGAAGATTCGACACTTCTTTTATTAAATTCTATTAAAATTAAATGGAGAGATTAAAAAATAAACGAATATTCATGCATATCTTCCGATGGGACAACATATGACCGTATCCCGGCTGTTAGTTGGTTGTTTTTGTTTGAACAAAAAAGGTTGTATGTGTTCGGAAGATTCAAACAAATTAAAAGACAATGATACGTTCTGCTTTTAGATATTGAATGATAGCTTAAGAAGTGAAATCATGATTTACTAATGGAACTGTTTGCGAAAGTATCACTTTGATTGATAACAGATGTGCAACCAATATTATCATTAGCAAAGGTCGTCATAGTGTTCAATTTAGTAGGACAAGGTAATTTGATGATAAAAGAATGCTTTCAGCAAGTATGTCACTTATTTATAGAGATTGTCACATTTTCAATTCCGTATTTCAAATGAATAGTTTTTTTTCTTGACATTTACATAAATATATAGAAAGTAATTTAATGAATGTTGGAAATGAACAAAAAAGATTTTTTTGTTAAAGATGCTTTTGTAAAATGTGATTTTCGCCAGATTTTCATAAAATGATATTTTTATCTAATAGATAATTTCTTTTTCATAAAATTTCTTTTTCAGATTTTCATAAAATGATATTTTTATCGGGATGCTAATAGATAATTTCAAAGCTTTTTTAACAAAAATTATGAGCAGTAAATAAAGTACAGTGTAATTTTGAGTTATTACATTTATATTAATGTGGAAAGTACCATTAATTTTGTATGTGATCAAATGAAGAATGTAAGAATTAGGTATAAAAAAGACATACTAGTATTGTGAAAAAAAAAGACGTTCCACCGGAAAATTCTTTATGACTATACAATTAGAAATATCATTAGCTATAAAAAAAATGAACTATTGCGCTTTTTAACGAACCCTATTTGACTTTTAGGTCAATTAACGAGTGGAAATGTACAATATCATACAGCAACTAAAACTCATTAAAGAATTGTCATGGAAGAAAAAACTACGTTAAAACCAGATTAAAATTACCCAAGTATGTATATGATAATTCATCATGTTGTTCTAACAAATTTTTTTATGAATGATATATTAACAAATTATTTCAGAAAATGTAAACATTCACAAAAGATAGCAAAAATGTTTACATTACAGTACTTATTGAAAGTATTGAATTTGTTTTGATAAGATTCAAACATATTTAGAAGTTCAATATATCAAAAATGAAAACCCTATTTGATGGTTTGTCTATTTGCTTTTTGGATTTTTAGCAATTAAAAAAGAAACAAAAATTTGAATATGCAACAATATTTGTGATTCTAACAGAGGATTCTCTTCTCAAACTCAGATATTCAGCTATCTGTATTGAAGTAAAAAACTATTATGAATGCTTTATGATTGTTTACCAAAAAAATAAAGCATGTAAAGATTTTTACCGAACACCAGGAATGCTTGCAACTTTTCTAATTATAACCCGTGAAATTTAATTTTTATCTCCGTACAACAATAAAAATGCTGTATTATTTCCCGAATGTCAGCCATTCTCATCAATGTAAACGACTTTTCATCTCATATCACAAAAAAATATTGTAATAATATATTTAATGAAATTGGAACTGGCTCATTGATTTAATGAATTTTATCCTGCTAAAGCAGTTCAATTAATAATTATGCATAGGAGATAGAACTGAAGTGAAAAAAAAAAGAAAAAACGAATCCTTAGTCTTATATCATAATTAAGAACTGTATTGGAATATAAATCATTCAAATATGTTATAAATATAGACATCCATATTCAAAATATATTCGAATATGGTATTTCCTTTGTACACGAATGCAATTTTTCCTTTCATCTTTCCTATGTTCCTCACTTTTAATACTCATTTACTTGACGACATCAGTGCATGTGTCACAGCAGGGCGAATGACAGATGATCAAAACAAGCAAGATCACTTGAATTTTTCATTAAAAGTTCAAATAATAAAGCTTATGAAATAATTAAATGGATTCAGAAAATATCGAACAAGATAGAATAACAAATGAAACAATTGCGTTCCAACCCGAGCACTACAAAATCAAGATGCATTGCTAAAAACTATTCCAAAAAAGCTAAGCTGACAAAATAAATGATAAAACGTTGAACAAATGCATGCTAGACTAAAAGTTGCGAAGGGATTGCAGAGCCAGTACATTTTCATTGATGTTATGCAGATAGATCTATATAATTTGGTCACGAATTTCTATTTGATGAAAAAACTTAATTAAATTAACAGGCTTATCTCTATAACGGATCAAATTTCAGAAAATATATGAAAATACTTTATGTGCCAAAATGTCGGTCAATAAGATTCATGTCACAGCAGCTCTGTTGGACAAAAAAAAAACGGTTTGAGATACTAATTACTACTCATTTCACTGTAATGTATATCACATACATTCTAGAATATTCAAAAGTCTTTTAATCCATAAAGATGCAAGGGAACAACGGTAGAAAGCCAGTCTATGCATGTTAGAAACAAGAATAGACATCACCCTGAAAACGAAGCTCTGAAGCTGTATAATATGACGAAAGTGTACAAAGTAATAAAATTATGCAATACAGATTTGTTAGCGAGACTTATCGGTGACTGGCATGTTTAAGGCAAAAAGAAATCAAACACAGAAAATGCTCGAACATAATTGTATATCCTAATAAATGTAGTGCTGTGTTCCTTGTTCTCAACCTTTTTCTATCTAAGCACGCTAAAAATTTGCAATATTTCTAGGAATGCGCACCATAGTCACCTGATCAATGAGATATTAAAGCAGAGTTAAAAATGAGATGTTATAACGAGGACATTACACACCACTAAAACTAGGAAAAGGGTTTTTGAAGAGAACTGCAGTGAAGTCATCTAAATAGATCAATAGTTACAAAGTAAGAACATGGGATCAATTTCTGGAATTAAATGAATGCAATACTATATAAGCAGTAAAACGACGATTTTTAAAAAGTGACAACTATTGGCTGAGCAATCAAAAAATTGGCGCAAAGACACAAATTTTTGATTATGGAGATGAAAAAGATAGCGATTAGTCATTTTTGTATTCTCCTAATACATCTAACAGCAAACCTGAGATATTACACTGCTCCAAATAGCTTTTGACAATAATAAGAGAACAAGGAGACACCAACATTATGAATTTACATTGTGTGCACTGAGACTTTCATGAATACGCACTGCATCAGTGAACTTTAGAGGTCTCGACTTATCAACCAGTTGTCCACCATTCTCGACAAAACGAAAACCACAGGCGGGATCTGTGTTAATATTAGCAAGTACACTTTCCGAACGAATCATTTCGAAGTTACTTAGAGTACTCGGCGATGGAACTGATTCATTATCATTAATGGCCACTGGGGACGTTCTACTGTCGTTCGCGCTGGACTGCATAATTATTTTACTGTGCGCTGAACGCATCGATTCCTCCACGGCCGCCTGGAATTATTTTTTGATTTAATGAAAAAAGCGCGATAGCTATAAACGCCTATATAGCAAAATGATATATAGATGAGAGGTGATACAGAAGTCCGTTTCAAGAAAAAATCATCCATTATGAAATAGCTGCTTTTTGAAATACTATGGGAAATTTCTTACTGATTAGATTTTAGATTAGATATCCATACACATAATATTTGAAATGATATGAATCCTTGGCGAAGTGTATGTTCAAATAAGATGCAATAAGAAAACTTCATTAGTTTTGGAATTTTAGATATATTAGAGAAGCAGAAGAGAGTTCTCTGCAAAGATAGTCGCCAGCCAGATAAAATTGCAAAGCAAATGAAATAACGCGTGATATATAGCGCATGACACTCACATGATATATAGCGCTTTGCCGGCGCAAAGTTTTGGTGTCCTGCTCGTCAAATAAATTACACTTTGATCCTTTTTCAGGGAAATTGTGAAATGAATGACCTAGTGAAAGTGCAGTACCTACAGACTGGTCATCTTCTGGTACTTGTCGCATCTAAAAATTCCAAATATTATTAACTAAAATCATAAAGTCCATCAAATGAACTTAACATTCAGGCATGTTGAGTAAATGTTCATAAATAATGAACAATAATAACATACTCTGATAAGTCCACCTCCTTTGGAGAAAGAATTTTTGTCAGGAACATATATCACAGATGGCATTCCATTTTTAGAACCTTTTCCACCTTTTCGACCTTTCTTTGCTAACACTGTCTCGAAGCTAAAAATCTCACAATTAGTGTCCTTAAATGAAAAATGAAAAAAAGAGTGCAACACATAAATAAGTTAATATTACATGTATATAACCTAATCTTATCATTTGAAAAAGGGCAGAAAATTATACAACTGCGCATTTAAGATGATTCTTAGCTATTGCTCGATATTTCAGCTATATTATAGTACTGAGAAAAGCACATACGAAGGATATTGACTTGCACATAAAGTATGGCGAACATTACCCCAACAACCAATTGTAAATGGATTGTATCCTGATCGAAATTTCCCCGTTACCTGAAACATATTTCATGCGTACAAAAACTGAGTATGAAATTTTGTAAATGTGAAACAAAGTGTATAAGCATATATGATGATACCTGTTCATTGGTTGTGCGGCCACGAACAACTAAAACAACATGGAAACCCGTTAAGCCAACAACAGGTACCGCCAATAACACACAGAGTGCCATCAAAACAATTGAACACATATTTGGCCTTGTTAGCAAATCTGTCCTGAAACAAATATCTAGAAAGGACAAAGCTGCAACATTATCCATGCAATTGCAACAGTCCATTCACAAGACTAGATTAATCTCTAATTTAAATGCATATGAAAGGTGCTTTTTGAAATAATCGTAGAACGGACCTGTTCAGAACTGTGTAACTCAGTGCCAACGAAAAAATACAGATCATATGTAGACTAAGAAAAAATAAAAATAAGAAGAAATAACGATAATTGCGTCGACCAACGCAGTTGTGTACCCATGGACAGTGATGGTCGAAAGCATCTATGCACCTGAAAATAAAGTATAGCTGTAGCAACAGCAATTTTACATTCACTAATATAGATTTCATCCTTCACCGAATACTAAGAAAATAAAGCACTCAGTGATAAGTATCTAAAATTCTTTGCTTATGTGTTTTTTGCGTTTGCTTCTTGTTGGAAAGAGACTATTAATAAAGCATCAAGAACAAAATATAATAATAGACATATAGTTTCGGCAATAAGTAGAATCTTTTAAGAGAAGCACTCTGTTTTACAAACATATCAAACATAACAAATGACCTCATTCAGTACTTTCATAGCTTTCAGGAAAAATATTGGATTACGTTTTATCAAAAACTTTGTAAACTTGAAGCAAGAATGTAACTAAAAGGTAAGTTTAGGAAACCAAATAATTAACTCTACTTTTGAAAAGAGGCATAAAGGATCACACCAACAAAAATAATCTTTATAATATAAAAAAGTTTTATTTAAAAAAGAAAACAAGCATAAAACAAATAGAAAAGCCAACTTGCCGATTGCAGACGGAGCAATGTGATGCTCTCGGTGGCCGATAGAATTTACATGTAACACACCATTTCATACGGACTGTGATACCGTTGATTTCCACGTTTTTGTAAAGTGGTGAACGAAAGTCATCCAACTGCGTTTCTTCTGCAGCACTTGCTATAACAATGGATGGTTTTTTAAAACAAAACTATTGACACTTCACGTGCAACCTAACCAAAGACATTTTACGGAAATATTGAAACTTTAGGTGAATCATGAACTTCCATCAAAATTTTATAATAAATATGTCCATAAGTTCAGTATATTCTGATGGGTCTCCTGAACTTGATAGCTGTCTCAAACCACTCCGTATAATTTATTTCCTGGCTAGGCTTTTAATGCTTGTAATCCTTTTCTTATCCAATAAAAAACAATTCTTAAATAATGCAATATTAGCAAGCAGAATAATTCTGGAACTATTTTCTTTTCATCTTTTACCTCTTAAAAAATGATCATTAAGTTTAATCAACAGAACTAACCAACAGGATGAACTCCAGGATCCATAGTGGTTGCCATAAACAGATTGGACATAACAAAGAGGAACAGAACAGCGTCGAGAGCACACATAACATAGCCCCATACCGAGAATTGTAAAATTATTGCTGGTGCGAGTAGATAGAAAAAGCATCCCGTGCAAACAATTATTAATGACCAAGCTACTGTTGCAGGCAATGCCTGTGACACGCTTTTGCACACCTTTCGTAGTGACATAATCCTTCCCGATATCAGCTACAATGACGAACACTGAAGCAAAAACTTCGTACTTAATAAATATAATATTTTTGCAAGAACTATATAGTTCAGATGGAGTAGTACACTAAACACACCAAGATTATCTTAACATTGTTTTTAAAGTTAAAGAATCAAAAACTATAATCATGTTATCTTGTACCCTGACTGACAGTTTCCAATTATGTGTGACAATTGGTGTTACAACCACGAATAAATATAGTCAGGGTAAAAAGATTATCATTAAGTTTTCATATTGGTAGCCTCTTTGGTGAAATTATGTAAACCAATGCGGTAAAAACAGAATGAGATGTAAACCTCAAGTTACTGTCATGGTCAGCACCATTCAAGTCAAGCCTAGGACTTGTAGCAATAATTTGAGATTTACTTATTGCTCAATTCCTGCCCTTTATCTTCAACAGAATTTTTTAACTTCAATATCTATATGCACCGAACTTGCCCACACATATATAAATAAAATCAATTCGATTTATTTCATATCCTTCAACCGCTTACCTGTAATTAGCAAATAAGCTGGCAAACAACACATATCCTTCGTCTTCCACGATCCACATGCTTTATATCCTGTCGTGAATCCATTTCGTCCATTGTACCAATAGACAAGCTTTGCAGAAGACAAACTTGCAATATTTTTTTTAAGTGACTGAAAAATCCATTGCAAATTTTTTTCATGTATCGTATGCATATGGGAAATATTATGTCAATCTAAGTACGAAGTTTGAAGAATCAGAGATTCTGGTATATCGTGATAGATTTCAGGTATGCTACGGTACACTTCAACATACTTTCCAATCTTCCCCACCTTTGTCTCAACAGAGAAGGTAAGTAAAAATAAACTTCGAAAAACAAAAGGATGGTCCAATCAACGCAAAGTTTTACTATTGATGGCAGAGAATGATTTCGAGACTGTCTATGACAGCAGCAGCTTTATTATTTTGTTGTTGTTGAAAATGTTAATTGAAAGTAGTGGTAAGCGTACGTGTTCATGGTTCTTGTGAATGAAAGGAAGGTGGTTCAAACTTGTCATTGTCACCATAATGTCACGCAACGTGGTTCACTTTCATAACAGGTATTTCACTTTTACACAAGCATTACTTTGTGGAAAAGAGTAGTAGATTCGATATGATTGTAATTTCATTTGAAAAGAAACAAACATGTCGTGTAGATGCATTCTGCCAGTGTGTTCTAAAGAATTTTACAAGTGATATGATTTTCCTTTTTATCAATGTTCTCATCATGATAGCTTCTCGATTTGCTTCAATTTCCACATTCGAATTCGATAATCATGATTGGAATGATTAGGCAGTCTTGAAAGAAAAATTTCTCTTGCTACTTTACTGGTCTTAGCTTTGATTCTGTCTTTCTTAGATAATAGTTTATGCATGTTAAACTTGAAAATATGCAATATTATGCTCTTTAAAATACATTTCTGAAGATGGTGGTTATCACGACTGTAAACATCTGATTTAATTTCTTTAGCTTTTATATTTAGCTTTCCAAAAGTTTTTCAGTTTGTATTGTTTTATGGAGAAATAAAAATTGAACCAAAATGATTGTTGAAATCTTTTTCTTCTCCTTTCCAACTCGGCTTTTTCACAATTTCATTTTTAGTTTCACGCACGCAATTTCTGCTTAACGCGATATCTTTTGTGTCATGTTACATAGACGTGCAAATTTTTCTGGCTTTAAATTTGATTCTAAAATTTGATTCTAATTTAAATTTAAAATTCGAATTTTGTCATAATAGAGAAAAACAATAACAAAATGCTAACAGTGATTTTCTTTTTTTGTATATCCATACTCATTATTTTTGCTTTTATCTCGACATTTTTTTATCAAATAATGCTTCTTCTGGATTGTATTCAGATACTATAATATAGAAAACATGTTTTTGCTTTTGCTATCTCATTTCTTGATTTGACATTGAATTTTGAAGATTTCTCTCATTACTCCTATGCAATTCATCTTTTTTCAAACCGGTTTCCAATGTATATTTTCAATTTATTTCTTTCTTCCAAAAATTTATTTATAGATTTATCAATTTAAAAACTAATCAATTAGCAAATAGGTGGAAAATTGGAATAGTGAACTCAAAAGGATTCAAGCATTAATATAAAGTTGTATGACATCCTTTCGAAAAGCAATTTGTGAAAAAGATGCATTACCAATTTGTTATCAAACCTGTTCAATTTCTAATTTAACAACTCTCTCAGTGCTTTCCAATTTAAATGATAATTATATGACGCAATATTTCCTCGGGCAGTTCGATTTTTTTAAACAACCATTGATCCATTTTGATCACTATTTTCTCTTTCATTTATAAAAGGAATTTTAATTACCCTTACTGCTTTGATAATCACTGAAAGCAATTAAAATTAACACTCGGATGACTTTTTGAATGCATTACAAAGTTAGAATAGGAGCATTTGTATACAAATAACCGAAAAACGAATTTTAAAATTGCAATCTTAAAACTGATAACATATTTGTTAAGTGTTTGATCAAATCCCAGTTTCATTTTTGTCTTTGATACCGTATTGGATATGATTGATAAGAAAGCAAAATGTATGCATCGATCATGTGTTTATAGTTGGTAGTTATTTTCATTATTTTCACTATATTATGTTTGATAGTAAATGCTTATATTGTCCATATAATTATTAAAAACAAAAATAAAAACATAACCTCAACTTCAAATGAGTAATAATGATTAAAAGATAGCTCCGTTATAATTCAAAAATTATAGGGAAAATGTTAAGAAGATAACTCAATAATGATTTTGAAATGCTATTTTTTTTCGAAAATAATAGCAGGAAATATTTAAACACTTTAAAATATTCCAAAAATTAATTGAATAAAAAAGAAACGAACAAATTTGGCTAATATGATTATCATGCTTTTGTAAATTTAACTAAATATATAGCAGTAATTATTGATATTATATTCATTGTTGTCTCTTTTGATAAAATAGATGCTATTCATAATGACATGTTACATCTTCCATATATCACTTCAGAATTGAAAATATCGCTTCATTTTTTTCTGTCAATTAATTTCTTATCTATCTGTAACATGTTTTTCTCCATGAATTCATTTTCATGTGCACATTTGTGTAGTAGTTTAATTGTAGCGGTTTTTGTTCTTTTCAAATATCAAAAAAGCATCTTCTGAAAGGAGAAAATATATTATTGGCGAGCGTCGAAAGTCAGATGAAGAAATTGTTGGATATTAAAAGGGAACATTGCTGTTTAAAATGTATTCTATTTTGAAGGTCATTGATAAGGAAAAATGAAAGCTATTGGGTTGAAATTAGCACAAATCTTTTGCTTTTTTTAGGATTAAAATGAAAACATTGCCGTTTTGTACCAGTAAATGTTCTTTATTTTTTGTTTCTTTTTTCTATCGAAGTATAGAAAAATTTTGCAACATTTCCTGTGACAAATATACAAATTACAAATTAGTGACTGAGAAATACAAAAAAAAAACGATAAAGTAAAATTAATGGATTTTGATGGGTTTGATTGAGAGGCGTTCACTAATTGAGAAAAGCGAAGCACAGTAAGTAATTTGCACCCTTTTAATGTATTGCAATTGCGCTGATGAATTTATTAAGTTAGAGAAAAGAGTGAATAAGCTTTTAAAAAAAAACAAAGGAAATAATGAGACAGAGAGGAATAATCTAATCTCGGCAACAATCTTTACATGTTAAATCACTTTAATTAGACATGAAGATGTTGATGGTCAAAAAATAGGTCAACAATTGCTGAAGTCTAAATTGTTGAAAAGGAAAATTAGAAGTGAAAAAAATTTGGAAAATCAGGTTGCTGAATAAATATATTCATTTTATTTTGATACTATCAATTATATAATAAAGATTAGAGGGCATAACATAGAAATATTTATATAAAGTTGAACTTTGTTAATTATAATACATATATATATACATAAACATTTTTTGTAGCATAAAAATAAGCCTGGATAATAACAGTGTCAGGGAAAAAGCTATTAAAGGTGTGGCTTACCAGGAGATGGGTGGAGCGGGAGAGAGAGAGAAGAATTTACAGCTCTATTCATTTGTACAATGGTTGATATAAACAAGTTGACATAATGCACGCACGCTATATGAAAAAGTTTACAAAATTTATCTACCATAAATAGGGTTGGCATATATCTGTGTGAGTATCGCTGGCTGCCATTGAGTTCAATTGAGGTATTAAATGTCGCCGCCATCATTATTGTTATTGTCGTCGTCGTTGTCACCATCATCGTCGGGATGGTCATTTCTTTACGATCATTTCATTAGCGCAACAGTATGTGTAATGATTCTTTTTGAGATGAACTACTGATTAATCTGAATCAAGAAATAGTCGAAAATCAAAATTAACATATTTTGGAATTTGGTTGTTAATATTTGGCATTTCTAACATAATAACGATGACAACAACAACAGATATCCTCCAAATAAACGAAGGTATCATTCCATATTGCATAATTTCTGTTTAGCGTCTAAATTTTAAAGTTTATAAAGCAGAATCTTCAAAACATCACTACCAATTTTTTTTTTTTTTTTTTTTGTAATCAATGTATAACAATTAACATTTTTAGTTGATAAAAATTGTAAATAAGATGAAAAATCATTTTTCCTACTGAGAAAAAAAATTTCAGTAATAACATTTTTTAATTTATTCAAAATAGAACATATAAAATTTGCATTCATCAATAATGGTAGTAATAGTAGCATCGATGATGTGTATTCCTAACTAGAATAACCGGAAGAAGAGGTAAATCAAGCAAGCAATAAAATTTTCCCTTCTCTTCCTCATCATTTAATTGTTAATTGTTGTTATCTTCAATCAGTTTTAGTATCATTAAGCTTATCAAATGCCCATTTTTAGCAATTAGATGCGGCGCTTTTGGTAATATCCAGTAAAAGCAAATAAAGCAACCACCATCATCATCAC